TAAGCACAAGCTTATGTAGTGCTATTGAATGTTCAGGCACTACTTTCCCCTTTCGTGCGCCCATCCAAAGTGAAGCACTGGGGGTTTTCTTCTCCTTCTTCCAAAAATGGCACAACTGCCCCTGATGGATTTGAAAATGCTTTTAAATCCAACAGGCTATGGCACATACCCTGTCAATATATTTTATATTTTTTTATTCTTAACACACTTATATGACGATATAATTTTTCTATGTATTAATAATAATGATTAAGGTGGGCAGCGCAGCCAAACTCGCGTTCTTACCGATCATGAACACTAAACCTCGCATTATTACCGATCATAAACCCTAAATCCCCACACCGTAAAGGCTAAACTCAGAGCCCTAGAAAACCATGTACTTTCCATTTTGGCTCTCTTCCGGAGCCCTTGTAACTCCCCTAAGCCCTAAACCCTAAACCCTAAATTTTTAAACTCTGCACTGCCGGACCTCGAGCTCCAAAAACCCTGCCTGATTACAGGAAACAACAGGTGGGGAGTTTAGGGTATATAGGGCTTTGGGTTTAGGGTTTAGGTGGGGAGGTTAGGGTATATAGGGCTTCTATACGGCTTCTATAAGGCATATAGACCTTCTATAAGGCTCCTATAGTTTAAGGTAAAAAGGGGTTCTAAAAGGCTTCTATAAGGTATATAGACCTTCTATAAGGCTCCAAAAAACGGTGACTACGCACCTGAAAAGGAACCGAAGAAACGCAGCCTTTTACGGACGTATAGAGTAAAGTCACAGCAAGGAACCCCGAGGTTCCCCGGTGGCCACTCAATGATAAGGGTTTGGGTTTAGGGTTTAGGGTTTATAGGGTTTAGGGTTTATAAGGTTTAGGGTTTAGGGTTTAGGGTTTAGGGTTTATAAGGGTTTGGGTTTAGGGTTTATAAGGTTTAGGGTTTAGGGTGCCCTTTTTCCTACTATTTGGCATTGGTAAGGGAACCCAACAAGAAAAAAAGGGCAAAAGGCTCTTACTGTGGAACCTAGGAACCTCAAAAAAGGCAGTTTTTTTGGGAGTATGGTATTTGGTGCCTTCTCATACCAGGGCAGTTCTCTTTGGAAGGGACCGCCCCAAGGCGCTTTGTTTTCTTTGAGCATGGATCTAAGGACTTTAGGCGGGACCCCTAATAGGGAGCCGTAATCCCATTACCTTAAATAACCATTCTATAGTCCTTATATACCCCTTATATAGCCAGCTAGTCTCCATATTAACCCCAATAAACTACAAAAGTCCCTATTAAGGGTCCCTCCTGAAGCCCTTAGATAGTAATTGTAGTAGTATGGAAGCTCGCTAAACCCACAGCTGCGCCGTGGTTGCATGATAATACTATACGACTATATACCATATCTCCACAGGCGCTGTTCCAATTGTTAAGCGCTAAACCCTGAACCCCTAAACCCTAGAACCTAAAACCCTAAACCCCTAGAACCTAAACCCTGCACCCCTAAACCTTAAACCCTAAACCCTAAAACCTTAAATCCAAAATCGCTAAACCCTAAACCCCTAAACCCAAACCCCTAAACCCTAAACCCTGAACCCTATTAAGGAACACCCTAAACCTTCAATCCACGGCAGAGGAGCTCGAAAGCGATGTGGTACTCCTGCGTCTCGACCTCCGCACTCGCTAAAAGAAGCGGTTCGTTCTTTGGGGATTAGGGGTTTAGGGGTTGA